TCTCTTTCTTCCCCTTCTGGCACCCCAATAATACGAATGTTGGGCCTCTTGAAGTTGTCCCAGAGGCTCCTTGTACTATCTTCGTATTTCTGGGTTGTTTTATCTTTTTGCTCTTCTGGTTGGGTGTTTTTTGTTTCCTCATGTTCCAAATTGCTGATTTGGTTCTCAGTGTTCTCTACTCTACTATTGATTCCCTGTAAATTATTCTTCATTTCAGTTCCTGTAGCCTTCATTTCAAATTGGTAGTTTATTATGTTATTGATTTTCTCAGTTATTTCCCTAACAGTCTGCTTAAATATCCTTATAAACAAAATCCCGAGCTCTCTATCTGTTAGCTTGCTTGGATCTATTTCATTTAGTTCCTCTTCTAGAGATTTCTTCTGTTCTTTCCTTTGTGACATGTTTCTTTGCCTCCACATTTTGGCTGCTTCCAGGTGTTTGTTTCTATGTATTAGGTAGAGCTGCTATGTCTTCTGGAATTTGTAGAGTGGCTTTGTGTTGTAGGTGTCCTGTAGGGTCCAGTGGCTCAGCCTCCCCAGTCACCTGAGCTGGGCCTTCTAGGTGCTCCCCTGCCAGTGGTGTGCTGGGAGGACTCGCCACAGGAGCCATAGCCTCCGCCAGCCCTTCTGCCTGGGAGGAAGCCGCCCCTCCACCTCTCGCCCGGATCTCAGGCAGGTTAGTTCCTCCCCGAGTGTCCCGGGTCCTTTCAGGCTGCTGCCCGGCGCTGGGCTCAGAGGGAGCGTCCGAGTGAGTCCGTGCCGGGCCCTTTAAGAGGAGCTGCTGGGGCTCCCGCGGCCTCCGCGACCCTCAGCGACAGTCCCCGCTGGTTTCACAGCCCAGAGTTGTGGGGACGTCTCCTCCCGGCCTGGAGCCCTGGGCTGGGGGCCTGCTGTGGGGCTGGGACCCCTCTCTCCTCTGGGAAAACTCCGCCGTTGCCGAGATTCCCTCCCGGGTTTCAACCACGGCACCAGGCCCCCTGTGGCCGCGTCTCTGGGATTCAGCCCCGACCCACCCGCGTCTGCGCCCCTCCTCCCGCTCTCAGTGCTCCTTCAGCTCCCTGGTTGTGGGGCTTCTGTTCAGCCAGGTTTNGGGGAGGGGGAGGCAGTGAGGGAAGGAGGGAGGGACAGAGAGAGAGAAACACCTGTGGTCTGCCTTCCATACCTGCCCTGACTGGAGACTGAACCTGTAACCCAGGTGTGTGCTGTGCCCAGGAATTGAACCGGCAACCTTCCAGTGCACAGCACCACAACCAACCAACTGAGCCGCTCCCACTGAGCAGGCCAATTTAANTTTTGATGTGGTTGCGGGAGGCAGAGGGTGCAGCTGTTACCTACGCCGCCGTCTTGTTTTTCAGTAAACTTTTTAAATTGTGGTAGAATATACATAACATAAAATTTACCATCTTAACCATTCAGTAGTGTTAAGTACATTCACATTGTACAGCCATCACCATATCCATCCACAGAACTCTCTTCACCGTGTAAGACTGTAACTCTACACCCATTAAACACTAACTCTTCAGTCTCCCTCTCCCCCAGCCCTTGGTAACCACCAATCTATTTTTTCTCTCTATGAATTTGACTGCTCTAAGTAACTCACATAAGTGGAATCACAGTATTGCCTTTTTGTGACTGGCTTATTTCACTTTGAATAATGTTCTCAAGGTTTATCCATGTGTCAAGATTTCCTTCCCTTTTTTTGGTTAATTCTCNTATTGATTTCAGAGAGAGGGAGGGAGAGGGAGAGAGAGAGAAACATCAATTGACTGGCTGCCCCCTGCATGCCCCCTACTGGGGATCCAGCCCTTAATCTGGGCATGTGCCCTGACCGGAATTGAACCTACCTCTGCTGGATCACAGCTCAACCACTGAGCCAGGACAGCTGGGCCAATTAAATCTTGATCAATTACTACATAGAATGCCTTTTCCATTTACATTTTAATATGATCATTTCCATTGGGATAGTTCTTTTTGTATAAATATTGCAAAAGATTTTTCACAAAATTTTAGTGATTATAGCTTCTGCCTTTTGTAAGTTTTCTGCTGTCTTATGTGCATTCTAGATTCCAATGATCCATATCTAAACCTTACCATGTCATGTTCTACCCTTAAAATTCTTTATGAATTGGATAAAAGACGCACAGCTAATGCGCAAGAAAACCATGCCCCACTAGCATGGCCACTGAAATTTTTTTCTATTGGGTGTCCATGCCTTTGGTGAAGTGAAGTGTAAAAGGTGAAGTCAAAATGTCATTTTGTTTTGAGGCCAAAACACTTGGAAGCAGTCTGTTTATATAACTGTTGTTGCTGTTTGGAAAAATGATATNTGCGCACAGATCACAGGCAAAGGACAGGTGAACACGGGGAACAGCACAGGTCCTCCCACCCTTCCACTGTCATACCCGTTTTCCATACTAAATAATATCCAGGTAATAGCCTCCAAATAATTGGTACAAAGTTTTTGCTGGAAGGTGAAGATTCGTTCAAGGAATCATTAATACCCACTTAATTATTGTAAAACTGCATCACGCTGAATGCGCTCGAAATCCCGTTTTGTCACCTGTAAAGGACGATGACATGAGATGTAAACGTTTCCCGAAGTAACCGGGAGCCTGGTACCGTGCTGCTGGGACAGGCTGGAAGGCAGGTGGGGAGACGCGCCGCGCTCCGCCCGCAGGAGGCTCGGCTCGGAGCCGAGCGGCGCACAGCCACGCGCACGCGGGATCACGCGCGCCGGGCGCCCACCCCCAGTCGGTCGCAGAGCAAACTGCGGTCACGTGCTCGGGGCGTGTCCGAAACAGGAGTTACGCAGCCGACGGCGCCGGGACAGCCGCTCCGGGTCTGCAACCGCAGAGGGGCGCTCAGAGGCCCCTTTCCGCCCGCTCGCCCGCACAGCCACCAACCACCGCGGGGACGAGCCCTTCACGGAGGGGCTGGGCCTTCGGAGGGGCCGCCGAGGCTCCCCTTC